CAGCGGCCGAAAGTGCCGAAAGCGCACAAGCGAAGAGGAATCACCGCCAGCGCAACAAGCAGGCAGCACGGGCCAAGGCCAAGGCCAAGTGCCAGCAGCCAGCAGCGGCAGCAGCCGCAGAAGCGCCCGTTCTGAGGAGCGGCAACAAATCGATGCAGAGAAGGCTTAAAGTCTTTGAAGAGCAGATCTACGACACCTGCATGGCCGACAACCTGATAGCCGAGACATACAGGTTGGAGATCTTCCTGTGCAAAGGGACTCGGCAGCATGGCTTGGGTGAAGAAGCCGGTAGTGAGCAGGAGATGACCATGGCTCGGTCCCAGGGAAGGCCCGATTATAGGTAGTATTATTAGGGGTACCCCTTAAAGGGTACCCCTTACTGAACCCTACTTCTGGCGCGCTTAAAAGGGACCTTGCTGAGAGGGCCTATATCCCCAAAAGGTCCCCCTAATCCTAGCTCCCAGATTAGCCGTCATTAGCATCATTGGCCCTACATCAACCCAGACCCCCAAAAAGATCTAAAAAAAATAGATCCCCTGATTAGGGACCCTAACTACTAAAGGGTACTTTATAGGAACCCCCTTAGGGAATCTATTTTTTAGATCTTTTTGGGGGTTTGGGAACCAATTCCCCCGAATCCAAAGCCCTACATTCCCTACATCCGGAACCTATTCCCCCGCATCCAAATCCTGCGAAGCAAATCAGGACTCCTCTTATCCTGCAACTCACACGGGAGCTACATGAGCCATTCAAGGAATCTTTTTAAAGGAGTCCCCTCCACGGAAGCTTAAACCCCAAATTCTAAACCCTAAACCCCTAAACCTTAAACCCTACTTAGAGGCCCAGGACACTTGGTGAGGAAGTACCCTTACAGCGAACCCCAGAAAGTTGGCACGTGGACTTAGGAGAATTAGTGCCAGGATCCCCTTTATTCTAGCTCAAAGCTACCAGGATAACGATGTTCCGACTTTCTGGCTTCTAGTATAAGTCTGATTCCAGGTTCCAATGCCACCTGGTACGATAAGGCCGAGGTTGCCGCGGCGTACCACGCCATGTGCCCTGCCAGTTTAGGAGTTACCCGTGCTCTCCAACGTAGCTCCTTTTCCTGGTTTAACCAAGTTTATATATTCAGGATCCTAAAAGGTCGCCCCAAAAAGGAACTACATTGGAGACTATAGGTAGTGTTTCTAGATTTCACGGTTTCGGGTTGAGGCCATTGCCAGAAAGTAGGTATAGCTCTAGTTTTTGTATGATGTTGACAGAATGTGTCTGTGTATATACCGTATTTAATATACAGGGACTGTTGCAGTTTTCATACGGGTGTGACAGGGTTTGTGTCGGAATTTTAATCTGTCGGGCTGTTTATAGGTTGTGTTACAGGGGCTGGGAGGGGGCTTAGAGTCGATCCTAAGGGTTCCGTAACGGTGTTGGTGGGATTTGGGTTGTTTTCAGAGGCCAGGCAGAGAGGGCTTCAGGGTATGTAGTTTAAGGGTTTAGGGGTTTAGGGTTTAGGGTCACTTGGTTCATTATTTCCGTTACCTGTTAGGGGTGCATCTATGCATATACATATTTGGCATCTATCTACATAATTTACATAATGCTTCCCGCTTGTTCGGTCCAGGGGTGGGGCTTCGTGCCGAAAAGATAGGGCTCAGATTCATTTTTGACTCTGGCAGTTCTGTGATGTTGCTTCATCTGATCTTGTAATGTTCTTTGACCACCTCGGGGGGCAACTTTCCAAAGGGTTTTTGAAGCGGGCAGACATCCCGAACAAGCCATGCACATCAACATGCAGCGGTTCATACACCCTTACCATCCTTAACGCTCGAAGACCTTAGCCCCATAGCCCCGAGCTCCCAACCATGCGAGGCCCTACAGCCTAAAACCCTAAACCCTACACCCTAACCCTACACCCTGAACCCTAAACCCCTTATTTGGGGCAACTTTACTTCCACTGCTGAGTTCTCACCCCTCGCGAGGATGGCCCCGGCTTGCATGTCCAACGTTGGAAGGGACAGAGGCTTTCGGGTGTAGAGTTTTGGGTTTAGGGCTGAGGGCTGCGTCTTTAGGAAGTAGTCGGTATTGCATGTTGCGCTAGGGTTCCAGTTGCCAGTGTAGGCAGGATGGGATGGTGGTGTCTGTCCGTGTGCCTGTCTGCGTGGGTGAGACAGTCGAGGCATCTGAACCCTAAGCCCTAAACGCTAAGCCGCTAAACCCTTACCTCTAAACCCTAAACCCTAAACCCTTACCTCCTAAACCCTAAAACCCCAAACCCTAAATCCCCTTTATACCCTAAACTAACTCCAAAGCCTAATACCCCGCTTTAAAAGCCGCAGGTAGTAGTTTTAGCGAGACCCTTCTTAACCCTACTTCTGGCTCTCTTAAAGGGACTTGATTGAGAGGGTCTACATCCCTAAGCGTCCATAATCTTAACTCCCATAAACCGAAGGTATGCAGAGCTTCCGAAGGGCGTCACTCCGCCCATGCTGCCGACGCTTCCCTGAGGGCAGACACTGGCTGAGGGGGGTCTTAGGGTTTAGGGTTTCCTACCCGCCCTACCCCTTCTTTGGGTGTATATATATATATATATATATGTAGGTACCTAAAAGAAGAGGTAGAGTCTGAGCCTTCAGGTGTAGGGATAGTGGCTGCTAGGATGCAAGAACTTCAAGTCCTTCACCCATCGGTTGTTCGGGCTCCTCAACCCTAAGCCCTAAACCCTAAACCCTAAACCCTAAACCCTAAAGCCTTATAAAACCCCAAGGCCGCTAAAACCCGAAGCTCTCGAGGCTGCAGTCACATGTAGATGGGATCCTGCAAGCTATACTTACAGGCCCAGGGGACTGAGTAAGTAGGTTGTTTAGGGTTTAGGGTTTAGGGTTTAGGGTTTAGGGTTTAGGGGTTTAGGGTTTAGGGTTTAGGGTTTAGGGTTTAGGGTTTAGGGTACCCGAAATGGAGTTACACGCATTATGACCTACTTATCACCCCCAACCCCTAACCCCTAAACCCTACTTATAACCCCTGAGCCTCCAAGTAGACCCTGAACCCTGTCTTTGAAAGCCTAAACCCCCTAAACCCTCAAACATCCTACAACCCTAAACTCTAAACCCCAGTAAGCCCTAATAAACCCCCTAAACCTTAAAACATCCTAAAACCCTAAACTCTAAACCCTAAACCCTAAATCCTACACAGGCCCGACTGCATCAGCCGCTGGTAGAGCTTGGCCTTCTCGGACATGTCCGCGCTAGGGATGTGTGGAGCAAAACGAACATGAGGCGCTGTCTTAAGGTTTGGGAGTTAGGGTTAGGGTTTAGGGTTTTAGGGTTTAGAGTTTCGGACTTGAGGTTTCGAGTTTGGGTCTTTGAGGGTTTGGGATCCTGTGGGGTTTTCGCTTCTGAAGTACACACTCCAAAACCAAAAGAACCCGAACCGTAAACCTTAAGCCCTAAACCATCTTAAAGCCTCTAGTCCTAAAACAGACAGACTGGCCTCGCAGTTCCTGTTGAAGGAGCGGTTTAGGGTTTAGGGCCCCAAATCCTAAACCCTAAACCAGGGCTGATGGACTTCCTCAAGACGGTTTTACGGTATGGCTAGACCAAGTTCCCCGGTGGTACCCTTTTGGCAGTTTTGTTGGCTCCCCCTTAAAGCTGAACAGTGGGAAAAAGGGATCCGCTTTCTTCGGAGTCGATGTAAGTCTTTGACAATGTAGGTTCCTTGGGTCCAGATAGGGTTGAGGGTCTCAAGTTGAGTTCACTTCCGCACGCGTTTCGTGCGTAACCCCCAACCCCAACCGAATGTCGTGTCGATCCATGTGCCGGGAAGTTAGAGACTGTCGACATTGGTTTTGCACAGTATCGGATTTTGTGTAAATTAGGATCCGCAATAACCCTAAACCCTAAACCCTCAACCGCAAACAGCACCCCAATCAGCCAGTTTTACACGGGGGAACCAAGTGAGTAGCCCCGTAGGATGGGGGCTCGGGGATGTGTGCGGGATCTGAAAGTCCAGTGTAGGCGCCTTCACTGGAATGGTAGCGACACTAAGCCCCTAAACCCTAAACCCCCAAGCCCTAAACCCCTAAGCCCAAAGCCCTAAACCCCTGAACCCGAAAGCCCAAACCCGAAACACTGTCGAGACTCCGAGGCCTACGCTCAGCCCGGACAGTTTCTTTGTGGGGTCTGTCCTACCTATAGTCTCCAGTGCAATTTCTTTTTGGGGTTACCTGTAGGATCCTTAATATCAACTTGGTTGAACCAGAAATTGGAACTACATTCGAGACCAAAAGGTAGGAAATGATTCTGGTGACGTGGAGGGCCTCAAAGGACCTAAGAAGAAGGGGTTTTATCAGAGTTCCATCCGGGATCCATAGGTGTTTAGGGCTTTTAAGGGGTTTGAGGGTCCAAAGGACCTAAACGTAATGGGTTCTACAAGAGTTCAAAAAACCACGTTACGGATAGTGGTTTTGTAGGTTGGTATTCAGAAGAGTACATGATTATTAGGGACTTGGACTGTTGGGGTGATGAGGTACCTGCCACAACAGCAATTTTTCCACTTTCGGCTCAGAGACATTCTTTACACGGTACAGTCTGGCCGAACTACTTTGTCTTCTACCAGCTCTGCCATGACAAGCTGCCAGATGCATCATGCCCCCTAAACCCCTAAACCCCTAAACCCCAAACCCCAAACCCCAAACCCTAAACCCTAAACTATCCAGACTCAAGGAGGCAGTTTCACTGGCCAGCTTTAGATGCTTGCGTGCCCAGCGTGGTACGCCGCCTCCTAGACCTCTCGTTGACTCTTGAGAGATGGCTAATATAGGGGCCTAAATAGTTACCAATACGATTTTGGGGTTCCATATTACAACTATAGTTATACTATAGTATGGGATCCCTTTTCGAATACCAATACTATGTTGGGGGTTCCATATTATGGTTAGACTATAAAGGACCCCAAAACCCTATTCTAATCATTATTAAGGCCCCGACAGTAGCCCTAGAGCGATGGCTGGCCTGCGTGGATGGATGCGCTGTCATCGCAAGCGCCCGCTGGTGCTTGCGGGACTGGCAGTTGCGGCAGTCTCCGGTGCGTTCCTCTGGACTCGAGACACCAGCGCATCGTTTGAGGGGTTCCATGCCTGTACGGCCCCTTACTATGCCTTTCTTGCGCCGCTTCATGCGAAGAGTAGCTCTGAGAATGTGGCCTGGGAAAGACTGCCCACGAGGCAGGTAGCAATTCAGTCCATTTTGGAAGCTGAGAAGGCTGTTGCAAGCTCGGAGAAGTTGTCTTCCATGCTGCTCCACGTGATGTATGGCACTTTCCTGCTGCCCTTCATGCGGACTCATCCCAGTGCAAAACTGCTTGAGGTGGGTTCTGGCTGCAAGCAGGACTATGGCCCCGGGGCACGCATGCCTCTATGGAAGAAGCTGTTCGCATCGTCTACCCTCTGGGAAGCAAGTCTTAATACCACCTGTGACAGGCGACTTGTCCAAGTCCAACACTTTCAGTTAATGGTTGAAGGATTGATACCCATAGGCCCTAAAGTAGTTCCTTTTTGGGCTTCATAAGGTAACCCCAAAACGAACTACTATGGGGCTTTTGGGTAGTCGTGCCAACTGTACTTTTGAAGCATCTGCTCCTGGTCTGTCTTGAATCCTCTAAGGCAAGTGGGACTGCAGAAGTGGGTGGATTCCATGGGTGGGGATCTCCATGCAGTTATCCACACTCAGAACCATCATCAGCACATACCTGCATGGACAGTTTTTGACTCGCTGTGGCCGCGGTTGAGGCCAGGCGGCATGTATTTCATGGAGGTCTTCAATGACGCCGACGCTGGCATTTCCAACAGACTTGCGCAATGGATTGATCAACTGCTAATCCATGCACCTTCTTCGAGGGGCGCCGGTGCCCACCCAATGCCTAGCGGCTTAGAGTCCGTCTACTGTCAACGGCAGGCGTGCATGATCCGGAAGCAAGTGTGCCGACGTGACTTAAGTGACAGCGGCAATTTTGTCGCTCACACGGTGTATTCCTTTGAGCAAGCAGCGCGCGAAATGCCCCAGCAGACTGATAAGACAACAACTCACAGGTATCAAGTGATGTTTGGTACTTTCCTGCTTCCCTATCTGCAAACTTTCCCTCAAGCCAAGATGCTGGAAATTGGCCTTGGCTGTGGTATGTCTGCCGGCACGGGTGCAAGTGCAAAGCTATGGATAAAGTTGTTTCCCATGATAGATCTGTGGGTGGCAGACTATGAGGCTGCATGCGTGGAGTATGAACGCAAGGTGGGACGGCTCGGCGGTATAAAATCTCTGACAGGAGACCAGGGTGATGCAGCCACTCTGCAAGAATGGCTGAAGACTAGTGGCGGCAATTTCGATATCATCATTGATGACGGCAGTCACCACAACAAGCACGTCAAGGCCCCCTAAAACCTAAATCCTAAGCCCTAAGCCTGTAACCCTGGGCCCTAAACGCGAAACCCTAAATACTTAGGAGCCCAGTGGGTAAACTTTAAACTCTTTGGTATATTAAACCCCCTACTAAAAGAAAAGTTTAAACTTTTTTGGCCAGGGTACTGGGCTTCAAGGAAGACGTGCTAAGCCTTAAACCCTAAATCCTAAACCCTCAGCCCTAAGCCCTAAACCCTAATATTCCCGAAACCCTAAACGCTAAGCCCTAATCCCTAAGCCCCCAGCCCTAAACCCTAAGCCCTTAGCCCTCAAGGACTTAAAACAAAAAGCACCCGCAAGGCTAGCTTCGAAGGTCTTTGGCCAAGCGTCCGGCCTGGTGGCCTCTACTTCTTGGAGGACCTGCAGGTATACTCGGTATAGCACAGACAAGGAACCCCATTAAGGCATACTATAATTATGCAAATTGTTAAACCCTAAACCCCAAACCCCCAAAACCCTATTCTAATCATTAAGGCCCCTACACCAAACCCTTATAGAAACCCTTAAAGAACCCTTTAAAGGAGCCATCCCAAAACCGTACTCTAATCACCCCAAACCCTAACCCCCCAAAACCCTATACTAATCATTAAAGCCCCTACTAAGCCCAATCGTAGATCCCTTATAGACCCCTCTGAGGATCCCTTTAACGGAACCCTATTCTAATCATTAAGGCCCCTACACCCTAAACCCTAAAACCTAAAACCCTTTTAAGAAACCCTATTCTAATCATTAAGGCCCCTTACATCAAACGCTGATAGTAACCCCTATGCAACCCTTAAAGGAACCCTGGTAGTAACCCTGAAATGAACCCTTAAAGGAACCCTTAAAGGAGCCCTTAAAGGAACCATAAACCCTAAACCATAAACCCTAAACCCTAAACCCTAAACCCTAAACCCTAAACCCTAAACCCTAAACCCTAGTCCAGTCATTAAGGCGCCCCCCCCCTACCGTTTACTTCTTGGAGGACCTGCAGGTCGGCCGGGAACCCCCGTGTCTTCGATGACGAATGGGAGAACGTTGAACTTTTTAAGGGTTTAGGGTTTAGGGTTTAGGGTTTAGGGTTTAGGGTTTCTATGCATATCTACATCTGTATATACATCTACATGTATATATATATATATACACATTTATCTACATATACATATATGTATAGTTACATGTTTTGTTTGTTTGTTTTTGTATGGTTTAGAGTTTAGGGTTTAGGGTTTAGGGTTGGGGGGGTCTGTGTTAGATCTTGTTTGCGCCGAGTTATTGAAGAAGAGAGGTATGCAGATGGGCCGTCAACATCCGAAATTATGCAGGCCTGGGTCCACCAGATGTTGAATCCCACCACAGCAGCCGGAGAATTTCCTCTTCCTCTGGATGTCGAGTCAATCTACTGCCAGTGGGAGGCATGCGTCGTCCGAAAGGTGGGTGGCTTATGAGGCAGGGACCCAACAAAACCTAATCGTCACAGTGCCCGTGGCCCATCTTCTGACATCTTGTGTTTGTGTAGTTAGTAGCATAGCTGAGTACTGTTTGAGACCTACATGATCCTACCATAGTTGAACAGGTTAACCTTTTTGGGCTAGGGTACTCAGCCCCTGGGGGGTGTGCCTAAACCCTAAAACCTAAAACTGCATTGTGTAGCGTTCAGGACTCTGACAGCTGTCCTTATGGTCTCCCGTGTTCTCGTTGCATGCTCCAAGAGGGTCCAGGAATATCTACTATAATGGAATTTTGTCCCCATTGCCCTACTAGGGATGGTCTTGTGGAGCCTAATTCCATCATGGTAGTGTGTATGGACCCTCTGGGCTTCTGCACTCCACATGTTCGATCGCCTTGTATCGTATTGAATGCTGGTTGCTTCGGTATGTCACGGCATGTGATGTTTTAAAACGTTCGAGGAAGGCAGGGTTTTTTTTT